ATCTTGAAAGTAGTGACCTTATGAAGAAGGGTTCCTGTAGTGCCCTACAGCACAATGTCCCCTATTCACCAGAGCCAGGTGCTTCGGGGTGTCTCCTATGTGGCTTTCATGTGCTGAGCCTTGTTTTGCCTTCTGTGCAGTTGACTGCAATGGCTCATTTAGTCTGTTGTGGGCTAGGTTTTATCACTGTGCTGTTAAAGGGCCAGTCTGAGACTGTGGTGGGCTTGTATTTGGGTGGTGTCAGCAGTTAGACCAGATGCCTGTCCTCAGCCCATTTGCTGGGGCTGCAGTGGCACCAACTTGCAAGGTGCTCTTCTTGCCTCATCCCCCGAGAGGCTTTTGCTGGTGGGTGGGCCTGGCACCAGGCCAGATGCCTGCTGGGGCTGCAGATGCACTGATCAGCAGGGCACTCTCTCTGCACTGCCAGTTTAAGGTTGGGCTGCTAGGGCTGTGAGTATACTGCTTTGTTGTTATCTTCCCTTCTCCCTGGGGCAAGATTTACTTTGGAGTGCCAATGGTCTTGCAGGGGCTCCTTGCAGGATGAGATGTGGCAGGAGCTACTTTGGAAGCACTCCTACCTAGGGGGGCGGGTAGGAGGGCCAGATCGGCAGGAGAATGTGGTGTTACCAAGTAGGTGGAGAGTGCTGGTGCTGTTTCCTGCAGGTGTCTGGCTATCTAGGCTGGGGAAGTAGAGGGGGAGAGAAAATGGCTCCTGCCAGCTCTTTTGTTCTTAGAGAGTCTCCTAAAGATCTCTGCCCCTCCAGCACACATTGCAGGATTAGTAAATCAACCTCCTTCACGCATACCCCAGGTGCTTTTCAAACTGCTGCTTCTATGCTGTGTCTCAGTGGGGTTCTTTGTTATACTGTCTCTTTCAGAGTGGGGACTCAGTTTCCTATCACCCTCCAGGCTGTTGATTTTTAAAGTATGTGGAGTTAAGCTCCACTGGTTATGAAAACTCATGAAGTTAAGCACCACTGGTTTTCAAAGCCAAATATTATGAGGACTCATCTTCCCAGTGCAGGTTGCCCATGTCTAGGGTGCCTGATGGAGAGTCTGCTTCTTTCCCTTCTCCGTGCTTGTGGTTAATCTCCCGAGGAGTTTGGTTCCCAACCCCATCTCTGCCCCTCATACCCTTTTTGATGTGGCCTCCTCTCTATGATTAACTGTGGAATGTCTGTTCTGCCAGTCTTCAGGTCATTTTCTGGGTTGGATGCACTGATGTGGCTATTATCTAGGTGTGCCCATGGGACAAGGTGAGCTTAGGATCCCACTAATCCATTACCTTCCCAGGACTTCCCAGAACTTCTCTTTTCAATTATTTTGGGTTTATTCCTGGGAGTGGAATTGCTGGATCATATGGTAATTCTATGTTTAAACTTTTGAGAAACCACTAAACTATTTCCCACATTGACTGAACCATTTTACATTCCTACCTGCAATGTATACAATTGCTTTTTTAAAAAATGCAATACTTAAATGTAAATCTTACAAAGCATATGTAAGCCTTGTATGCTGAAAAGTATAAAATACTGATGAAAGAAATCAAAGATCTAAATAAATAGGCATACCATGTTTGTGGGTTGTAAGGCTCAATACAGTAAAGATGTCAATTCTCTCTGATACAGGTTTAAAACAATTCCTATAAAAATCCCAGCAAGGGGCGCCTGGGTGGCTCAGTCCATTAAGCGGCTGCCTTCGACTCAGGTCGTGATCCCAGGGTCCTGGGATGGAGCCCCGCATCAGGATCCTTGCTCAGCGGGGAGCCTACTTCTCCCTCTCCTGCTCTGCCTGCTTGTGTTCTCTCTCTGTGTCAAATAAATAAATAAAATATTTTTTAAAAAATCCCAGCAAGATTATTTTTCCAAAATTTATGTTGAAAGTCAAAGGAGTTAGAATAGGTAAAACAATTTAAAAAATTTTTTTTAAGATTTTTATTTATTCATTTATTTGGGGGCGGGGGAGGAGCAGAGGAAGAGGGACAAGCAGACTCCATTCTGAGCACAGAGCCTCATGTGGGGCTTGATCTCAGAACCCTGAGATCATGACCTGAGCTGAAATCATGAGTCGGATACTCAACTGACTAAGCCACCCAGGCACCCTAGGTAAAACAATTTTTAAAAAGAAGAATAAGATGGGAAGGATCATCCCAATTTTAAGACTGTATAGTATTGGCAAAGGGATAAACACATAGATCAGTGGAACAGAAGAGAGAACCCAGAAATAGACCCACACAAAGTTGCAAAGGTAATTTAATGGAGGACTGGAGGGAAAATAACCTTTTAACAAATGGTCCTGGAGCAGCAACTGGACATCCACAGGCCAACAACAACAAGGGAAGAAAGGAAGAAAGAAAGAGAGGAAAAAGAAAAAATTAACCTTAAGTCTCCTACAAAATTTAACTTGAAATGGATCATGGGCTTAAATGTCTGACATAAAACCATAAAACTTCTAGGGAGAAAAAGAAAAATCTTTGAAATCTAGGGCTTGTCAAAGAGTTCTTAGACTTAATACAAAAAGCATGATTCATACAAGGAAAAATTGATCACTGGACTTCATCAAAACTAAACCCTTTGCTCTGTGAAGGATCCTATTAAGAGAATGAAAAGACAAGCTGGAAGTGGAAGAAAATATTTGCAAACCACATATCTGACAAAGGGCTGGTATCTAGAATATATAAAGAACTCTCAAAACAATGGTAAAAAAGCAAACAATCCTCTTTGAAAATGAACGAGAGATGTAAAGAGACATTTCACCCAAGAGGAGATAGCAGATGGCAAATAAAGCACATGGAAAGATGTCCAAATCATTAGCGAATTAAAACCACAATGATATATCACTATCATGACACACCTATCAGCATGGCTAAAATAACACATTGTGACAGCATCAAATGCTGATAAGGATGCTACGAAACTGGATCACTCATACATTGCTGCCGGGAATGTAAAATGATACATCCATTCTGGAAAACAACTGGGCAGTTTCTTGAGACACTAAACATGTCAGGGCACCTGGGTGGCTCAGTCATTTGAGCATTGGACTCTTGGTTTTGGGTTAGGTCATGAACTTGAGATGGAACCCTGCATGGGGGGGGCGGTCTGTGCTCAGCGGGAAGTCAGCTTGAAGATTCTCTCCCTCTGCCCCTCCCCCTACTCTCTCTCTCTCTTCTCAAATAAATCTTAAAAGAAAGAGAAACTAAACATGTGGGGCGCCTGGATGACTCAGTCGAATGTCCGACTTTTGATTTTGTTTTTCTTCTTTTTTTTTAAGATTTTATTTATTTGAAAGAGAGAGACTGAGGGAAACACTGGGGAAATTGGGTTAAGGGTGAATGGATCTGGCTGCATTATTTCTTCCAGCTGCATGTGAATTTGTAATTATCTCAGAGTTAATGAAAAACAAAAAATAACTATTTTTAAAGTGATGGAATTAGCAAACAGACTATTAAAAATGACCAAGAAAACCGGAAATAGAACCAAAATGCTTAGAAAGTAAATATATTGTTAAAATTAAGAACTTAAGTGGATGGTGTATTGTTTCCTAGTGCTGCTATAACAGGTTACCACAAATCTAGTGGCTTAAAACAACACAAATTTATTTTCTGACATTTCTGGAGGTCAGAAGTCTGAAATTGGTCTCACTGTGCTAAAATCAAAGTGTGAGCAAGACTGTTCCTTTGGAGGCTCTATGGAAGAATCCATTTTGTTGGCTTTTCATCTTCTAGAAACCTCCTTAGTCCTTGGCTCAGAACCCCATTCCTCCATCTTCAAAGCCAGCAACATCAGGCCAAAATCTCTGCTTACCATCTCTTTGATTCTCCTTTTTTCTGCCTCCCTCTTCCACTTATAAGGACCCTTATGACTACATTGGGCTCACCTGGATAATCCACCATACTTTTCCCATTTTAAGGTTAGCTGATTAGTATCCTCAATTCCATCTGCCACCTTAATTCACAGTTTCCAGGTATAGGCCATGGACATCAGGGGGCCGGGGGAAGGGTATTACTCCGCCTACCACAGATGCATTAAAAAGCAGATTAAAATATTTGCAAAATAACTGATGAATGGAAAGACAGAAATGAAGAGGTTACTCAGAATGCAGCCAGAGAAACAGGATATGGAAAACAGTTAAAAGCCGTGGAAGATAAAATTCAGAATCCTAGAAGAAAAGAGAATTTTTCTAACTTTTCTACCAGAGGTTAATATAAGGGTAAACTGAAAGAATTAGTATCTTTTTTGTCTTCGTTTTGGTGTTTACAAGTTGCACTTTGTATCCCATCAGTTTTACATTTGCAAAGTTTTTTACTTTTGAGTTATGAACGTGTTTTTCTCAGAAGGCAGCCTTTGGTAAGAACTTAAATATTCATGAGCATTTGTGGTCACATGACTGAACGTATTTTAGTGTGAATGACAGCTTACAGAATCAGTATGCCTTCTGTAGACCTTCCCCGTTTAAAACGTTTAAAAATACTTTATTGGGGAAATTAAAACTTATTTTATTGGGGAAATCACTGATTAGTGTATACAGTATAAAATGTACACTGCCAAGAACAAATTTAAGAACAGGAAGAAAGGCTTGGATTTCAAAAGTATAAATCGAAGTAAATGGTCTATTGTAAAGTTTGATTACTTTGAGCCACTTTTCATCCAGGCGCACGTGTCCCATGTTTCACAGTCGCGCCCAGGCTTCGCCTCTGGTTGCAGGATCGGGGGTGGTACTTTTAAGGGGACTGGCTGAGCTCGTGGCCAGCGTGGCGCAACTGGCCCGTTGAGTTCGCAGGCGTGAACTTAGGAGCGCCTCTTGAGGTTGCTCGCGGACACTTTCCGCGCGTCGCGTCTCCCGACTTCCAGCGAGCCAGCGGCCGGAGCGCCGACCCCGCCTCGTCCGCCGGGCACCGCCTCCGCCCCTCCGCGCTGCCCGCGAAAGCGAGCGGGCGCGGCCGCCAGTACCCTCCCGGCCAGTTCCCGTTCCGGGCCGGGGCGCGGCTGCTCCTGCTCCGAACCTCCCGCAGCTGCTCGTGCTGCGAGCTCCCCCGGCCTCGGCGCTCCCGGGCCTCGGCGCTCCCGGGTCTCGGCGCTCCCGGGCCCCGGCGCACCGCGGTCTCGGCGCTCCCGGGCCTCGGCGCTCCCGGGCCCCGGCGCACCGCGGTCTCGGCGCTCCCAGGCCTCGGCGCTCTCCGGTCTCCGCGCACCCAGCTCTCGCTCTGGTTCCCAGCTGCTGCGAGGTCTGCACACGTGGAGCCCAAGTAAGTTCCAGCGACCGGGGATGGTTCGCACGGGGAAAGAAGTTTCCTAGGGTCCTGGGCGCTGCCAGCGAGGAGGCGCAGAGAGGAGGGATTCTGTTTGTGGGCGGCATGCAAAGCTCCCCTGGAAAAGCTCCTGGTCGGACAAGGAGGATAAATAGAGGAATGCAGAAAAAGTTCAAACGGATGAACTTCAGCCTCTGCGGAATCATTGATCCCTCATTAGGGGATTTTCTTAAATCCTGCGTGCAACTTGGAATGCCCCGTCCGCATCCCAGACCACTTACATCCGAAGGCGTGGGGGTGGGACCCAGGCCTCTATAGCGTTTCAACTCCCCAGGTGATTCCAATGTGCAGCCAGGGTTGGGAACAACCAATGACCAAATAAAGGACGGCTGCCAAGGAAGGTGGAAAGGCAGGCCAGGGACCTTGATGGAGTCCGGCTGCAAGACGGATCCCGCTGCACCCAGTGTCCTGTGTGGTCTTGGGGACCCGGCAGCGGGCTTCCCTCCGGCTTTCTGGGCTCCAAAAAGGGGAATGAGGATACGCCTGACAGGGTGAATAGCGTGTTCAAAAGAACCTCCTATATTCACCCAGTTTTTGGCCCATTGTGAAAAATAGAAGGACTGCCGGCTCCTTCTCTTATGATCCCCGATTGGTTCTGCATTCTGGAAAATGACGCCATTGTTGCATTTGACATGAAGTTGGGGGAAACCAGTAATCTCATGGCCTCGACAACTTCTGGGTGATCTGCTTTAAGGGTGAGGCCGGGTGTGTTTGCCACAGGTTGGGTTTGTCCCTCCTTCTGAAAGCCTCCATGTGGGTTGTACCATATCCAGCGAAGGGTAACTCTACTGTGAATATCTAGAGAGGAGTGGGTTTCACAGGATGGACCCTTCCTCATCCCCCGGGGAGGTGCTGGGGGCAAGTAGCTATAATCCCAGAAGCAGGGCCATTGGACAAGACACAGACTTGTACCACATGTGCAGGGCAGATAAAAAAGGTGGATTTGAAATAAACAACAGCCAGGAGGTAGAAGAAAGGACTTTAAAAGGTTTTAAGAAGAGTACATTTAATTTTTGTGGAGTGGAGAAATAAGTTCAGAGTTTTGGAGTCCATCAAACCTGGACCCGAATTCAGATTCTGTCACTTCTGTGATACCATAGGTAAGTTACCTGAAAACTGGGGGTAAAAATAGTAACTCTGTCCTGGGACTAATATAGTTAAGTGTAGCAAATACCTGGCAGGGCAGGGGGCACATGGCAGGTGCTCTGTGAGCGGTGGTTATTTGTGTCCAGCAGCTGTTTTCTTTCTTCTTTTTTTTTTTTTTAAGTATTGCAAATACATCACTACCGATAGCAGTTTTCGTAGCACGGCCTGGGGGGGGGGGTGTTTGTCCAGAAGCTGTCTCCCTCAACACTCCATTCCCCAGCTCTTCTCCTGCCCTGCTAAGGGGAGGGCTCCTTCCCCCTTGGGCCTCTGGGTGCTTTGATGTCTGGAATCTCAGGCCACCAGGTCCCCCCAGCCCCGGCCCCCAGGGCTAATTGATGGCTCTGGAATATAGCTTTACTGCATGTGATGGGAATGAATTTCTTGACAAAAGAAAGCAGTCCTGGGCACCTGGGTGGCTCAGTCGTTAAGCATCTGCCTTCAGCTCAGGTCCTGGTCCCAGGGTCCTGGGATTGAGCCCCTCATCGGGCTCCCCGCTCTGCAGGAAGCCTGCTTCTCCCTCTCCCATTCCCCCTGCTTGTGTTCCCTCTCTCGCCATGTCTCTCTCTGTCAAATAAATAAATAAAATCTTAAAAAAAAAAAAAAAAGCAGTCCTTAATCTTGAGACTTATCCACCCCGCTGTCACATAGATAAAAAAAATGGGCCCCCAAAAAAGCTGGGCTGTCTGTAGGGTCTCAGACACACGCACACACACGTGGCTCTCTAGCTGGCAGCATCCCCAGACAATACCCAGGCTGCTCCTGTTTTGCCTCTGACTCTTGGCCTAGGGATAATGAATCAGTGAATGAATCCTGACCAAGAACAGTCAGGAATTCGGGGAAGGGGGACCCAGATCCTACGATTGCCAATGCCAACACCCCAGATGAACCTTTCACCCTGGGACCTGCTGTGTGTGTCACTGACCATTAGGATCACTTACGGTAATAGCAACACTGTTTAGATATTGGTAATATACACAGTGATGTCACATAAAAATTAAGATCAAGTGTTTTTACAGTATATGTGGAATTGCTGATTTTTGCTTAAACAAGAATATCAGATTCTTGTCTTTTTTAAAAAAAAAAAAAAGATTTATTTATTTGTCAGAGAGCACAAGCAGAGGGAGTGGCAGGCTCCCTGCTGAGCAGGGAGCCCGATGCAGGACTCCATCCCAGGACCCTGGGATCATGACCTGAGCCGAAGGCAGACGCTTAACCGACTGAGCCATCCAGGCATCCCTTCTTGTCTCTTTTTATCTAAAGAAAAGAGTTCAATATTTCTTCAAAATCTAAGGCCTAAGCCTAGAATTTGAGGTTTAAGTTACCAGTTTATTTTACGATTCCCTTTTTTGGGAGGATTTTAGGCAAGATGAAATTAGAAAAGCTAAAATTTGTCCTTGTGCTGAATTTTTGTCCTGCAGAAGCTGTAGATACTTTGCACGTTTCTGGAAGTCCTGTTTTCTTTCATCATCTGGGCAAAGTCAATTGTGTCCCACACAAAGGGCCTCCTTTCATCCAGCCACAAAGTCTGAACTTGTTTGGAGGAAAAGTCTTTGGTGCATCAAATGCTCATTGAGGGCAAGTGTTTTTTTTTTTCCAAACTTGCCTCGTATAGTAAGAAGTGAGTAGTCACTGCCATTTCAGTTAATTTATGGTTTTTACCCAGCGCTATAGAGTTTGTCAAAGCAAGACTTCCTGGCTTGAATACTTGTTCTTATGTTTTATCTAGAACGGCCACAGACCAAACTGTGGGCTGAGATTATGTTGCAGAGTTGGCCAAGCCAGTCTCACTACCACCCCTGCCTTTGCCCTCCCCCGACCTCTGATGCCAGCCGCATCTGGGGGACGGTCACTCTGAGGGCGTCTTGGCCCTCTAGTGCCCTCACAAGGGGCAAGCTGCTGTAAAGCCAGCAAGGCGATTTTGTGTTGCACTTCATTAAAATCTGAAGGGTAGTCTAGTAAACTGCCATTTTGGAATTTGTTAGGCTGAGTAGTCCTTTTCCTCTAAATTATAGAATACTATAGTTTAAAGAACTAATAAAGATGTCATCATAAGGGCCCGGGTAATTGCAAAGTGAGCACCAGATTAGCACCGGGTTTTAGTGGGTCGTTATTTTATTTTTTTATTTATTTTATGTAGGCTCCATGCCCAGCGTGGAGCCCAGCGTGGGGGCTTGAACTCACAACTCCAAGATCAAGACCCGAGCTGATATCAAGAGTCAGACCTTTAACCGACTGAGCCACCCAGGCGCCCCTAGTAAGTGGGTCGATACTTTAATAAAACACGAGAAGTCACGACATTCTGTTTGTTTCAGGAGGTTGGTCGTTGCCCTCTTTATGTGTCTTCATCACTAGGCAGGTACGGGGCAGAAAATAGTTGGGACGATTGTAGATATTTTCAGAGCCACATGCAGCCCGGTAGGACAGTCCTGCATTGCTAGGGAAAATCCTTCCATGGCAGAAGAGCTGTGAGCAGATGATGATTTATTTGAAAAAATATTTGTGGTGTTCTAATTACCAAAAGGTTAATTTGTTTCATGACTAAGAACTCCCTGTGCTTTGTTTTAACTAAACATCCCCCAGTTGCTGCTTGTGACCCCAAACCAAACCTTCTAGAAGGAACTTGGTGGAATGCTAGGCTTTTCTTTGGGGATATCCTTGATTCGTACGGTTCATGACAATGGGCTCTTTCATTGGGATGGAGCCACTCATGGACCCCATTTATCAAGGAAGTGTTTTACATTTAATAGGAATTCAGGCACCTTGATGGTTTCAAGTAGAGATAGGAGGTCTGTAACAAAGACAGACAGGCAGGACAGAAATGGAAAAAAACTATGGAATTGGGGTCAGAACTGAGCTCAAGCCCCTGCTTTGTTCCTTAACTGTGTGACCTCAGCCAAGATATTTAACCTCTTCAACTCTGTGTCCTCCTTTGTCACACAGTTTTAAGCATTCTTTCTTTACAGAGTGGTTTTGAGTATTTGATGAGCTAATTGGTGTGAAGTGCTTAGCACACCACCTGGCTTTCAAGAAATGGTAATTATTATGATAATGTTGATGAAGATCGCTTGGGTTGGAGGGCTGGTCTTGCCCTGTCTAAGCTGTGTGGCTTTTGATAAGGTACCTAACACTCCTGAGCCTCAGTGTTTGTATATGTAAAATAGGGATAACTCTACCTGTGTGGGAGGATTGATTTGAGGCTTGATGAAATGATGATGCACCTGACCTGGTAGACCCTAAGTAAGAGCAAACACTTACATAGATTTACTGTGCACAACCCTGATCCAACAGCCCTCCGGGCTGGTTATCATTCCGCCCATTTTACAGATGAGACAGCTGAGGCTCAGTGAGATGAAATAACTAGCTTGAAGTCAACAGATAGTAAATGCTGCTCCCAGGATTGCAAGCAGAGCCCTGTTACCGGCCCGAAGCCGAACTCTGGGAGCGCCCCTCCCTCTGCTCACCTCCTCCACTTTGCCATGCTCGCCTGCTGTAATCCAGGAGCTCTGTTTCTCACACAGGACCCCAGCTTCCAAAGAATTGTCTGCTTACGGAGTGAAAGTGGGACTCCTTCCCCACCCCAGATTTGCAGCTTTTCAATCTCAACCGTTGCTTCCACTGGTGGAGCTAATATCCACTGGGTGTGGTGGGGTTGGGAGAGGCCTGATACTCACCTGGACTACTGTCCTTAAGAGTGGGTTGTGATGTTTATTTTGAGAAAAACGTCATCTCCGTGCACTGAGATTGTTAGCCTGGGTGTAATAAAACCTACCTTCACCCAGACAGGTGTGCGG